ATTTAATAGTAATATTAGAACCGCGCTTCTCATTTTTAATGTTCGCTCAGTTCACTTTGGCAGTATTTCATTGATGTTGCCTGAGGCTATAGGTAATGGAACATTACTCACTATGATAGCCAGATTTCTTCTGCATGGCGGTTACAGGGCAATCTTTATGAGCCAGAAGAAGCTGTTTCAGCTGTGCCACTTCATTTCTCAGCAGGGTGACTTCATTCTAAAGGAGAAGAAAGTTATGCACTTTACCAGGATCAAACTACATTTCAGCAGTAAGCATTAGCAGTCTCAAGTTTTACAAGATCTTCAGTTGTTCATTTGGGGGTAAATAAAATACTATACATACATCCATTAATGTAGACTGCAAAAATCATTATTTCTGACTTGAATATTTACTGAAACGTTGGCTAAACAGTCATTTCTAGATTATTTTAAAGGAAATGCCATTTCTTTTATTGTATCATAATTTGCAGTTTGTAAACTGCTAGTTTTACATATAATCCCATTCACGTGATTAGGGTTATTATACAACTTTTCTGCAGAACTGCTTGGTTGGCTTGTAACCAAAACAAGTCTACTGTTAATTAGATGCTACAATGAGCAAAATAGCAAGTCAGAGAATATGGAATGATTTTTTGATGAGTACATATTTATATTTAAACTCTATAAAAAGGAAGTCTCACTGTATAATGTACAAAAGGGCAATAGCCATCTCACAATCTATCATTTTTATTTAGTGTTAGGATTATGTTGCAGTTGTGATGGTCTATGGCAAATGACAAAGAGTACAGTGGTACTTGAAAGCTCATCTAAGGCCCTCTCAACCTGGTTCAAAAAAAAGATATCATTCACAAAAATCCTTGCTTTGATCATTTTTTTTGATAGCTATGAATAAACCCAGCGTAAGATACAAAAAACAGAATCACTGCAGCTAATATGAATTAGAGGCAGTGTAGTTTAAAGCAGTGGTTCTCAAACTTTTTTGTACCAGGACCCATTTGTAGACAGCGATGGCCAGTCCCGACTCAGTGCCCCTCACTCCCAACCCGCTGCCGCCCAACCCCAGGTCCCAGCCCCCCCTTCACCCCATGTGTGGGGCCCCAAGCAGCCCCCTGCATGCTGCATGCTGGAACTGTGACACTCTGCAAGAGTAAAGCCATGATTTCCCATGTGTTTCTCCTTTAAAGGAGAATCCATTTTTTTCAAGTTTGTTGATCCATTTATAAAGTTTGTTCACAACCCTTTCCATATTCTTGTGACCCATTTTTGGGTTGTGACCCACAGTTTGAGAAATGCTTGTTTAGAGGATAGAGCACTGGATGGCCTTTGGGGACCTGAATGCTATTGCCAGTTCAGCTACTAGACTGCTGGGTGATTTTATAAAGGCCACTTCACTCCTCTATTCCTTAGATTCCCCATCTGCAAAATGAAGGCTAATGACACTTTACTCTTTTGAAAAGTGCTGAGATACATACTGACAAAAGGTAGTCTATAAAAATGGAATATCACTATATTGTATAGTAATCAAAACTAAGAATGGTGTGACATTTTACATGTAACTATTATTATCTAAATGACTACAAAAATATTGTATATCTAGAAACCACTAAAGTATCTATCAGTTTTTGTGATTCCCACACTTGATTAAAATTTGTCAATATAAATTTTGGCAGGTTAGTTTTTATACTCAATGCATGTCATTCAGGAACACATTTAAATAACCTTGTTAAGCAAAAAGTAATCTTGTCTAATCACGGAATCTTTTAAATTATTGACACTGTAGCACAGTATGATTTAGGTAAGTAGTGACTATAGTGTCACAGGAGTGAATTAAAAGAAAAAAAATAAAAACAAATGAGACCTAAAAGATGTCCTCAAAGATTTAACTTACATAAAAACAGCAAAACAAGAACTTCAAATGATCAGTCTGGGAGTTGAAAATGAAATGCTATACTTCAGAGAAGAACAGAGAAGAATCAGAACTAAAAAAAGAAAATTGTTTTGATGGCTTGGTTGACCTTGTACATAACAAATGCAATATTACAAAATCAACATTATAACTAAAAATCTGATTCTATACCAAGCGTCTTCCCTGCCTAGGATCTCAAGATTCCCATGCTCTTGGTTGCCTGTGAGCCAACCAAAGTAGCTGTTAAGGAACCTGGTGCACAGAACCCTGGGCTGCCAAGCAGATAAACTGCAGGAAACCGCCCTAGGTAATTTTGAAGTTTTTGACAGATTTAACAGAGTTTTTAATAGTAAATTGTTTATTTCTTCCTGAACTGGAATAAAAATATTGGTATAGTTTTGAGAATAGTGCGAGTTACTTTGCAGTTGCTGCAGCCGAAACAAGGAGTTCAAGAACATAAACCATTATTTCTTAATGGTTTGGTTCCTGGTTTAGCAGAAATATATTTTAATTCCAGAGGATATTCTCAACAGGCCACAGCAGTTTAGATGTAAGTTGAATTTGCAGCTTGGATTCTTTGATTTCATCCATAGCTTCTTCCTCTCTGTCATTTTCAATTTTAGGAAAATTAATTGAGAAAGTTCCATAATCTAATGAGATGCATAAGACAAGGTGGTCAATTACCAGCACAATTACCCATGGACCGTATATAAAAATAATGGCTGATAAAAACAGATCAATCCCATATAGTTATATTTTAAAGATTTTTCATTCTTTTCTAACAAAACATAAAAAGTAATTGAAATCTGATACATTTCATCAGATTTGACAATGACAACTGAAACATCACTTTCTTCTACTAAGCATAACCTCCCCCCCCCCAAACACCTGTTGAAGTCCAATCACTGTTGATTATTTAACTAGAAGTAGTATTATGTTCAAGAGAGGTGATGTGCAGATGCCACCAGCTACAAATGGCAAGATGTAAACTACGTATATTGTATACAGCATAGATGTCAAACATACGGCTCATGGGCTGGATCTGGCCCGTGGAGCTGTATGATCCAGCCCCTTAGTCTCTGGACTAACCCCATGTGCCTTATGGGGTGCATGCCAACACCAGCCCTGCATGCTGCATGTAGTACACAGGCCGGACCCAGTGCTGCATGCATCAAAGTGGGTTGGTTAAGGGTGTGTGCTGCATGGCCTGTTCGTGCCTCACAGGCCCTGCACGCTGGCTCTGTGGCTGGTCTGGATTGGACTATGCCAAACCAGAGTGCAAGGCCTATCAAGTGCGGCGCTGCACACACCAGGTGCTGTGGGCTGGTTCTCTGTGCCATGCGTGGCTGGACCAGCCTGTGCACTGAGTGCAGCGTGGACTGGCACTGGGGATTGCTCTGTACATGGTGTGTGGGCTGGATCTGGCACTACACGCAACTCAGGGGGTCAGTTTGGGTCACAGGTTGCATGTTGCACCCTGCCATACCGACCCCGCACACTGGATCTAGTGCACATGGGTTGCCTGGGGCCTGATGCAAACTGGCCCAGGAGCCAGTGCACAGGGCCAGTCTGGCAGAGTGTTGCATGAAGTGCATACCTCAGACTGACCCGTATACAGCACTGAGTTCAGTCCACATATCACATGCAGTGCAAGCTGCTGTGTGGGGCTGGCACATGCTGCATGTGGCCTGGACCCAGCACTGGGGCACAGCAGGTTAATCCCAATCCACCCCACAGATGAGCCCAGTAATCCTTGGCTGGATCAGTTTGACACACCTGGTATACATCATGGAGACTAATGACACAGGAGAAATATCCATTATCTGGATATTAATTCTAGAAACCAACCTTTACAGGTCCCACCAGACTGATACTCTCTTGCTATGTACGTGAAACTGTTGAGGCTCCCCTTCTAATATGTTAATAAGTAGTCTCCTTTTAGAAAATCGAAGGATTACTGTAAGTGGGACAAACACCATTTAGATCTCTGTGATCTCTGAGGTTAGTGCAAGCAATTTGTCACAACACTAATAGGCTTATAAATACTTTACAACATCAAATATTTGGTTAGAGACAAGTAGGAAATAAATACATCTTGTGCACTGCCTAATAATGAGGAAACAAATTTTCTAGTCAGAGATTTAAAAATACATTACCAAAGCAGAATTAAGGATAAAAACATAAATCTGTATTTCTCAAAGCTGCTTCCAGCATACCCCTAACCCCCTTGCTTGAAGAGGCTCATTCTTCTACCAACCCCTCATTGCAATGTACTGGATTCAGTGTGTGATTTTTTTCCCCATATAGCTTACCTAGTTTTGGCTGGATACAAACTATGGGTATGAGTTGGAGAGAAACTAAGGAATGGATCAGAACCTTCTTGTTTAATGTTAGGGTAGTGGGTCAGACAATGTAGGTCTGCTATAGCCATCCTAAAAAGGAAGTCGTTCAGAAGAGAATACAATATAGGGAACCATGAAGAAAACACCCTACACAAAGATAAGTGGGTAAGAAAGTGCAGCAAGCTTCTCGGTACAGGAAAGGACTTTTACCAAACTTACAGTCTTTCTGTGGTTTAGCTTTCTCAATCAGCTTATGCTGCTGTCAGACAAATGGTTAACTACTGATTGTTGATAACTGAGTGTCATTGGAAGCAACAATTTTTGCCTTTTCCTGCAAAAGAGGCCATGATTCCTCTACAAAAGTGACCCTCATGGATTAAATTACACTGTTCGCAAAGACCTTCATCCTCTCTCCCAACACACATTTTTAAGGCTGCTAAAACATGTGGGGCCAAACAAGGCCTCTAAATACCTAACAATAGCATACTGTAGTGTACTCTGGTATATCACTACTTGTTAGCAGGGAAAGGACCTGAAAAGAAATACTCAGCAGTCACTGCAGCAATTCTATATACTGCTCAAACAGGTGATGTGAAACACAGAATATATCTTACAGACACAGAGATACAGCTTTATGCAGTACTTCTGTAAAGAAAAGTCAATTCCTAAAGTTTATTTAAGAAATTTGAGATCCTAAACCAACCATAGTGCAGAAAAGCAAAAATGAAAATTTTATTTTTTATTTCACATGAAATACTGTAGGTATGAAACAGCTAACGCAGAAAAGCTTGCAGTAAAGGACACTTTCCCCATCTGACTGAAAATGTTTAATGTTACTGAGATGTTGCAATTTCTATACAAGTTCAAAACAGACCTTTCTTGAATAGGCATTTTGTCTATGGGAAGACAAGTAAGAGTTACAGGGGGAAAATACATATTAAATATGTCAGGGAGAATATCCATTCCTGTTTTTCCAGGTACTGTTATACTGTTCTTACTCTTAAGCCCATGTTTACACAGCAACAACATAGAAAGAAACTAGGACAGTTGCTTATTAAGTTTGTTAAAAATGACTGCTTTTGTAAAACTATTCAACTTTTGGTGCTTATATTCTACCTATCTTTAGAAACAAACTAATGACATCTCACCATAAATTCAGCTAAGTAGGGCATTTAGGTATTAAAACAAAATATGAACTATTAAACCTTAGCATGCAGTCTGTAAAAATATGCTAAGCCAAAGCTCCAAACTTATTAAATATAACGTAAGTAATCATGGGTCATTACTGCCCACTATGCTGATCAGCTGTGTTAGCCTGTCAAGTGAAGAATTATTATGGAAATGCAAGATTGATTAATGTTTTCACATAAAGTACAGTTTAATTATTTCTCTGACATTCAATTTTCTTTACAAGTCATTCTGTTCTTCACAGTTAACTGTTTTGCGTTTGGCAGACTGTAAGAAATTTCTTTCCCTTGAATTCACCATTACTGTATTAACTCTTGAGAATCTGGAAGCTACAAGCTTTATTAAGGAGAAAAACAATAAAGAAAAAACAACGTCTATGGCCCTCAGTTGAATATAAAAATGAGAAAATAAGTCACATGAGTGACTTTACACTCATTAACAGTCTAACTAAACTGAAAGGTACTACTAGCACAAGTTAAATTACTCATATACTTTTGGAAAAAATAACATTCCATTTCACTGGTGACCTGGTTGGATTCTGCATCATCTTACTTTTACTTCAAGAAACTGCATTTTGAAAATACAGAGGTAGGGAATTAAAGAATCTTTGAGTCTCCTTTTACAAAAAGATTGTGGAGTCTTGCAAATGCCAACAATTCTTCCTTCAAAATAGCTTCCACCCTAATTTTTAGCAGCTACAAGTATTCATGCTGAGGCTGGTAAGTAGAAATGTTTACTATTCGATAAGGACAAAAATAATCTTATTATGGCAGCATAATTTTTTATTCAGGTATCCTGAAAACTGTTCTAATTTTATGGTCTGTCTATAATATGGGATCTTGAATAAAGATTCTGAGTATAGCAAAAACAAGAGTCCTTCTACTGTTAATAAAAGAGAATACCAGGATCTCTTCAAGTACAAGATACTAATGCTAATATTGAGAACTGGCTGGAATGAATATTAAGTATAACATTTAATGAAGTTTTATTCTACTAATAATATATGATTCAGAGAGAAATCTTATAATTTGTTCATGACAATATCATTGACTCTGTTTTCAGATACAGGAGAATGGCAGTGAAAGGGATATTTCTGGATTTAATCAATTCATGCATATCTTGAAAACAGCTTTTAAAAACTGAAATTGGGCCAGTACCAATGCTATATATTTTAAATTTCAGTACACTTCAAAGAAGTTTGATCTGATATCAGTTGTTATATGTACTAATTAGGGATGTGAAAGATTAAACGATTAATCATTTAACCAATAACAACAATGATAATGAGTTATCTTACCAGTTTGGGATGGGCACAGTCTGGCAGGGAAGAGGGGAGTGGAAGCCACAGGGCAGTACCAGAAGACAGGGCAGGAAGGAGAGAGGGAGGAAGGAATGAGGAGAAGGGCAGAGGGAGGGGCAAGGGGGTCTAGTACCCATAGCCAAAGATGAATGCAGTAAGCAGCCTAATGACTCATCAATTAAGCAATTCACTGCTTTTTCACAGGTTCTCCCTCCCTCCCAGCACTGGGCTTCATGTGGAATATGTTGTTTGGCTGTGCTTGCCTCCTCTCCCCCTTCCCCAGTCAAAGGGCTCTGGGAGCCCGGAGCAGCTCCTAGCAGCAGCTGTGTCCAAGCTGCTGTTATCAGTTAATCGTTTAATAGATAAAATTAGAGGAGATTAAACAAGTATTTTTAATAAATATTTACATCCCTAATTACAACATTAATCAATGAAATCATGATTAGAACCTATAGACAGCAATGAAAAAGTCTGTCAAGTTAAAAAAATATACTGTATTTTCTCTCATATGACATGCTCTGGAATATACTACTTTACTAAACCTTGTTTTTTGAAAGGTAGAATGAAATAAAAAGTTTTTTCCCAGACCTATGGCTGCATAAAGCAGGGACCACCTTAATGCAAAATTATAGTTGCTGTTCTGTATCTACATCAACCACATAAAAGAAGAAGAAAGCAGGGACAGAAGCTAATCTTCCCTGACTCACCCTCCTATTCCTATTCAACTAAAGCTCAAAATCTACCTGCTGCTTAAGATTGGTCTCCATGGGTGGATCTATGATTTTGAAAAGAGCTAAAGAGTCTCCAAAGCTGTGAGATAGGAGGATACAAACCAGGAGCAGCTACCAGACAGCAAAATTGCCCTACAAAAAGTTAACTTGATTAGTAGAACACCAAGACAACTAAAAAGGAGAGATGATCATTAACACCTGAGTGAAGAACAATAACCCATTACATCAGCTCATTCTCTCAGCTCCCTGAGAAGTAATGCAATAACTGTTGCACTGTGGGACAGGAATCAAAGCAGGGTGTTTCTAGTTACCCTGGTCAAACCATCAGCTCCCTCGCTTAATACAAGCACCCTAATTTTGAGGGAAAAGGTACATGCTGTATGTGAGAAAATACAGTATTTCTATTTATAAGCTTGCTGTTATCTATCTTTATAGAATTTATGTGAAGTGCTATATATTTTCCAGGCATCACTGTATTATAGGATACTGAAGTTCAAGACTGTTACTGTATTAAGGAAACATTTATAGAGTGGTGATTGATTGGGGGAGACACCAATACAATTATATTCAAATATACTGTTTGGATTGAGATATAATGAATGTTTCTTGAAGCTGGATGACAACTTTGCATCCTTTGCTCAAGTATAAATTTCCTGTGTGCAACAGGCTTAAATCTTAGGAGACACCAAGAAACCTTGAAGATGAGAAGGTATGGTTAGTTTAATACACTGTAACCTTGGACTTGAGACTTGCACTTGAGCCTTGGACTCTAACCAAACCTTCTCCCCATGGGTGCCAGACCCCACACCCTCCTTCACAGCTGGTTAAGGGCTACCCCAGCCCCCTTCTTCCCAACCCAACAGGGCTGGACCACTCTCCCTTCCCTCCACCTGGCCAGGTTGGGACTGGGTCATGCCTTCCTCCTCCTGTGGTCAGGCCATACTCCATTCCCCCTTGCAGGGCTGGGCCATGCATGCCCCCTCTTCCCTACCTGGTCAGGTTAGGAACTGGGCAATGCTGCCTTCCCTACAGGGCTGGATTGGGGTGAAGTCATGCCCCCTCCCCCCATATGACCAGACTGGGGCTGAGCCAAGGCCCCTTCCCCTGCACAGCTGGAGAGAGGCTGGGTTGTCCCTCCTTCTTAACCCCCTTCCACACATCCAGATGGGGCCCTTTGTGCATGCTCTAGGTGGCAGATTGAATCTACCAGAAGGATTTGGCCCACAGAGGGACCGGGCACTGCCCATCTGGCCTGCTGGATGAGACGGTTAAGCACCACTGCTTTAAACTGCACCCCCTCCCCCCACCTCTCTCCCCATACCAAAACAAAAACTGCAAAAGTTATTCGGCTTGATTTCAACAGAATTATTTCCTGATTTTTCTACTGGGTTAGTGAAAAAGATACTCAACTCTGCTCTTTAGGCCAAATAATTAATTTTTGAAAATGTTTTGCCTGTTATTTGTCCTTTCTTCCTCTTCTATCTTACAGCATTTCTTGATAATCTCAGCAGAAGCAAAAAGACTGATGGGGAACTGCTCATGGGGCTATCCTTTCATACCACATGGTCCATAGGAATACTACTGAAGCACCCTGATAGGGCAGTGTGGCAAAATCTACACTGGCACTAAGTATGCTGCGCTTTCTCTGTAGATAAATAGAGGCCTTCAGTTTCTACTGATGTCAATTTGGCACCTTTCACGATCATTACCTTCACTTTAAAGGAAAAAAGTGCAGTTAAAAATGAAAGGAAATTAAAACAGATCTTAATGAAAGCAAGATATTTCTAAGTTCAAGGTAAAACTTCACCCATGACACTTCAGAGTCCAACGTGTCTTGCTCTCAGTTTATGTCATAACCTGAACACCATTTAAAATGGAACAGAGGCCAAGTGGGCGAGATCCCAAATCCTAGAAGTTATGTTCCCTTACATTCTTAATATACCTAAACTATAAACACTTTTAATGTTAAATTCCTAACTTATCTATTCAACTGTATTTTAGAAAACTATTCATATTTTAAACCCCTTACAGAATGTGTGCTCCATGATTCCAGATTATTAAACAAAAATACGGAAAAGAAAGTACCTGTAACTGGCCATTCAGGGAGCTTAAGTCTTCTGCTTTTTTCTCTAGTGACTGCACCCAGACTTTTCTTTTTTGCCGACATCTTGAAGCAGCAGCACGGTTTCGTTCTAAAAACTTTCTTCTTTTCTCATCAGGATCTTCATTTGCTGCTCTTCTTCGACGGCCACCCGTATTTTGGGTTTGTGGTGTGGGCTGAGCTGGGGATGCCTGAAGATAGTGGAAAAAAAAAAACCCACCGTGTCCAGTGTAACAAAACCAGCAACTCTAATCTAAGAGTTTATTATATATATGCATACACACAGACACATACATAGACAGAAGAGTGGTCATAATTACTCTGGTCAAACATTCAAATATTTCAGGTCTTTCCACTAAAGAAAATTAATTACATCAATTAAATGTACATCCATGGTTTATTAGTTTTCAGTATGGTTTTGCTCAATATTTGCTGCATTTAAAGTTCTGCCAATACTTTAACCATGATTAAAGCGCTCCAAAATATCACTACATTTTGGTATTTGACACACACTGTTTACTCACATACCACTCCCCCCAAATAATTCACACACCTTGCCTAGGGAGGTAAGAATGAAGAAATATTTTCCCACCCTCCAGAATCTTAACTACTACAGCATGGGCTCAACATGGCTGAATACGTGGCAGCACCCACACTCAGCATCACTCCAATACTGGCTGTAGCTTCACAACTACAGTTCTATTGCTCAGCAGACATAACAGGACTAAAACTACCATGTTTCATGATGTAAAAGTCAAAGTTTGAAGCCAAAATACATACCCCTAAATGTCCACCTCAATTTATACACTGCATCAATACTTTGAAATAAAAAAATATTGTGTTTCAAATTTTGTTTGCCTTTGAAACAGCATGGTCACACTAATTACATGAAACTTCTGATATAAACTGAAACTTCCAATGTCAAGGATCCATATGAGGATCAATTAATCATCTGGATGGCTGGATGGAACTGTTTAGGGATGACACTTCTGATGATGAAAATGACTGATGGATTTTAAATTGTACTTGGGAAATTGTTCATTGCACGTAACCTCTCACTTGTGGTAGCTGGCACAACCATCATCAGAAACAATCACAGGGGCAATTGTTCATTCTAAATTCTTCCCGTTACAAGAGAATACTTACTGTACATGAAATTTTTTACAAATGGATCATTATAAAATGTGGGTCAACCTATACACTGGATCTACAAAAATCCTAACTTTTTTGATCAGAAATATGGGCTTGACTTGTATACTATGATATACGGTAACTGTGGTCCTAAAGGGTGCACTCTGCCCCTCCCTCTTGCACTGGGAAAGAAACACAGCCCATGGAAGTCATTACATGCTTCAGTCCCAGTCTAGAAAATCAGTTTCTTTGCTCAACACATGCCCCCCAATTTTGGAGGGGTCTTTTCTGGGGAAAAGGTGTGTGTGGTATGTAAGTATATAGGATGAGTAAGCCTGGAAGCAAAGGTGTTTTAAAAATTGTCTTAACCATCCTGTTGCCAATATCAGACTCATCAATTATATATAGGTATTATTCAAAATTACTTTTAAAACTGAAATTTGAGAGACAATAACTCCATATAGTTTCTTTTTATCACCTCAAAAGCTTTTAACTGTTTGGATGCTGATAGCATAGTTTATGCCCAATTAATGATTTACTATATATGCCCAGATGTTTGTCAAATGATCTCAACTAAGCACTGATATTTATTAAATCAAGGAACTATGCCAATCCAAAGAGAGGATCAAATAGTTAGAAATTAAAATCTTCTTTTACATCATATGCCCCACTCCCCTCATGGGCAATATATAGTCCCCTAACAGAGGGACAGTTGCATTACAGTGACAATACCTTGGATTAAAGTCTTGTCATCTGATAATAAAAATAAAAATGCTCCTTTAACCAATTCTTCTCATAATGGGATGTGGACGCTCAGTCTTCCCATTCAATAACATTTTTATTTTTATTAATTTGAAAATCAAGTCAAAGTCCAACAGCTCTGGGTATGACTTCTAGACTGACAAAAAGGGACTTGGAGAAGTTAAACTGAGAGTTAAGAATTTATCATTTGCAAATACTTCTCTAAGATAACTTCAAAATAAGTTTCTGTGCATCTTACAAAGGTACTAAATGTGGATTTAGCACTCTGTAAATCTTGGCCAAGATTCCTAAGTTTTAAATACCATCATATGTATTTTTTGGTACCTCACAAAAATAAGAAAATGGGGTTCTACTATTCAAAGATCTCCTCAGATAAGCAATGTGAACATTTTGTTATACAGAACATATGAAAATATTTTCTTCCAGACAATTTCACCAGGCCTGACAGAACACAGGGACATCACATTTTCAACTTGTACAGAAAAGAGAAACTGCCTCTTCAAATGAATTCAGGCACACTTGGCCAATTTAAAAAAAAAGTTCTATTTTTACACCAAACAATTATAAGCATAAATTATACCGTTTGAATCTTACTACTTGATTTCACTAGCAAATCAAGGTCTAAACGCTATCATTTGCAACTGCAATTAACTGAACTCACTGTTGATTGAAGACACAGAGATGGAAGGGAAGTTACATTTTGCATTTTACATTCTGACTTGTATTTATTCTCTTGTTCCAAAAAAGAACAGGTAAGGATATCCTGCATGAAAGAACGTGAAGTTTCCTCCATTTCCTGGCCAAGCAAATGGCCATTATAAAGCTAAGTACTCCTCATGGGCTTTAAAAACTGTAAGAATTTTCAAAGCTAAGATGCCACACAACGAAGCTAAGCTCAAATATTTAGGACAATTTGTCAGCTGCCTTAAAAAAAAGCCTCCAAGAACACTGCAGGGGAAGACTGTTATTCTTAGGCCCTTTCTATATGTACAGGTAAATACACAATGGGATCGAATGTGTGATTCACACAATAGTTTCTCCTGCCATACCACACATGCGTGGCAGGAGGCGCAGTTGAGAGATTACGCATTAAAATCCATCACAATTTATTGCCAGTGCAGGGGGAGCCTGATCCTAGACTACTCCTGCACTGATAAGAAGCAGGTTCCATGGCTAGGAGCCCCATGCACCCCAGTTCACAGGCTCCTGACTACACAGGTGGCCATGTAGATCTGAGGCTGGAGGATCCCTGCTGCAGTGATCCCCCTGCCCCAGAGGTGTGGGGACATCCTTGGGCTGGAGGATCACCACAGGGGTGATCCCCCTGTCCTGGGGTGTGTAGGAAGCACTCAGGGCTGGAGAACTGTGGCACAAGCAATCCCCATCCCACGGGTGCGAGGAAATCGCTGGGGCCAAAGAACTGCAGGGGGAGATGGGGGTGGAAATCAGCCCTGCAGTGACCCCTGGCCCCAGCTGTTTCCTGCAACCCAGAGACCTAGGGATTGCAACTACCGCAGTCCTCAGGGTCCAGGGGTTTCATACTGCCACAACCTGTATGGTTCAGAGGTGCATGAAACCCCTGGACCCTGGGGATTAGGGCTGCTGCGATCCCTAGTGCTCAGGGGTTTTCACTGGGCATGGTGCACCCCTGCAGCTGGAATCCCCATCAGCTGACAGGGCTCCCAGTCGCAGGGGAGACACTAATACACATGCAAACTAAAGCTCAATAGCAACCAGCAATAAAGTACTAGAGGCGCACTGATACATTAGTCCAATATCAGATTGGCATCGATATAAAGAAAATTGATTGTATTGGAAATTGGCCTGACGTGGCCAATAATTTGGCTGATAAATGTTCGTGCATGTGCGCAGCCACAGTGCAGCATGTAGGCAGTCAGGAGCAGAGCCTGGCAGCTTGTAAGTCTGGTGTGGTGGAAGAGGAGGGGGGAGGGAAGGGGCGTGGGGGGACATATCAAGGCCCCCATGGTGAGAGAGGAGTGGAGCTGGGGCAAGTGCTGGTCAGCCAGGGTGCAGGACAGAACTGCAGCTTGTCCAGGCGCTGCTCACCTGGGAGCCGCTGGTCTGGCCCTTGCCTGCCTGTCTGGTGGCTCCTGCCGCTGCTCCTGCCGCTTGTCTGGGAGGGCATGGTGGGGAGGGAGGGGGAGGCGTGTGCCTCCGGATCTGCGTGGGAGGGGCAGGTTGGCTGCAGCAGCAGGCTGGGGCTGTGCGGGGCTCTTCCTAGCACACCCCGCCTCACTGTGTGCAGATCCGGGGACGTGTGGCCCCCCCCCCTCCCAAATGCCCTCCTGGATGAGCAGCGGGAGCCGCCAGATGAGCACCAGACCAACAGCTCCTGGACGAGCAGCGCACAGGGGCAGGAGCTACCACCCCCCAGTGCCCCAGGACAAACTGCGGCCCCGTCCCGTGCTTGCCCCAGCCCCACTCCTTTCTCACCGCAGAGGCCTTCATCTGCACCCCCACGCTCCTCCACTCTCCCCTCCCCCTCCACCACACCAGACTTACCAGCTGCACACAGCTCTCCAAGCTGCTAGGCTGGTATCATAAATTGAATCAGTATTGGCTGATATGCCTTCTTAAAAATGAGCTATCGGTATTGGCCCCAAAAATCTTTATCAGTGCACTCCTAGTAAGTACACATTTTCGAGGTCCAACTTTATAGCTTGTTGGAGGTTTTTATTGTGTGATAATTACTATGCACATGTAGCTGGTCTCCAGGTAACTGCACAATTAACCAGCTAATTGCACAATACCCTTAACATGTAAAGGGGGCCTTAGTCCCCAACAATTGTTGCGTAAACCCTTCAAAGGAGGTGTTGCTCTGAGCTTTACTCTGAGTATCCTCAAGAAAACTACTACGTGATGTCACTGTTCAAAGGATATAAAACGTGAAGGCTTCAGTCTGGTACTACAGAGCCAAAGTTTTATTTTCAGGCCACAACAGAGTCATTCTAGACCTGTCTTCTTTGAAGTTCTAACTCTGTAAGCTAGAGTTTGTAAACTCCTGAGTAATATTTTAGGAAAGTTGTTTCACACTAGGTTTTCCATTAACAGAAATCCACACCTGGAGAAACAAACAGGAGGGATATACAAATAATGTAATTTTAAGGACAGTGGGGCTACAGGAAGAAAGAATTCCTACATAGCCACAGGAGTGAACTGCTCACAAGCACAGTCTCCAATTTATTATTTTTTTTAGTATACCCTGACTCACAAAGAAGGTCATCATCTGAAATATACACAAGTAAAAAGAAAAAAAAGATACATCCTGCAGGTTGCTTCCTGCACCCTGAGGAAGGTGGAGCATGGATGTTTGTATGGTCTTAAGTTACCCAGACTGATTTTTCTACAAAAGGATTTTCCAGACTAGAAAAGCAAGTCAATAGTTCAATCACTAAGGGTGCCAAATCACTCCCAATTTCTTGTTTCCCTTTCCTACTTTGCCTCAATTATCCATTTGTAATCTATTCCCATCCAACATCCAGAAAACAAAAAATAGCACCCACAAGCTCACAACCTTTGTTGCACCCAGGGGATCCAGTTCACAATTATGCAGTTAAGGGTCTTAGTCTTATGAAAGTAAAAAATAAAGCAAATTTAGGCAGGAACCCAATATGCTTGAAAAAATTTTGAACAGTGTTTGTTATCTGAAATATTTGTCTAATGTAATACCAATATAAATTAAGAATTTTCTGATATTTTCCAGAAGTATATTCACTTGCTGTACAATTTTTACCATATACCACAGATTCCACATCACTGTGTCACAGAAATGAGAAGGAACTGGTTTAGAATTTAGGTTCAGTTCATTATAGTACAGATGACACCATCTTTCCTCAGTATGTTTGTAACATATACTATGATTTTTGACTATGTCTAGCATTAGGAGCACTTTACTGGTAAAGGAATCCTGCTACAGCATACTGGCAAAATACTTCCAGTACAGATAAAGCTACACTGACAAACCTAGACTTTGTATCCATATAGTAAGCCCTCCTGTCTTGATCTATGCCAGTGAAAAGTAATTAGATGTCTAATTATATTGATGCTATGGGTTTCTACTAGCACAGCTGCACTGCTTAGGGCCAATAGCTAGTCACACCTCTGGCTGACACACCTATGCTAGCAAAAAAACTGTATAATATAAATGCTGAGTGTATGGTAAACAGAAAATATGGAAAGGGGATTACAGGGTTTGTATAACAGTAAATGGAGTCAGAAGTACACCTTGACTTTGCTGTCATACCGGTGTTTCAGTGGTTGATGTAGCAGGCTGTTGTAATGACTGTGGTCGGGCTTCCTCTGACTGAGTCCTAATCAATCCACTAGCATGTCCCTTGGCAGTATCTCCATTTGTTACCTGAGGATGCTGCTGGGTCAAAGCAGCTTTCAGTCTCTGAAAGGAAAGAAAATATTTGTGCACATTTTTCATACTGGAACAGACTATGTGATGTTAAGTTCAATTAAATAATAGTTATTAATTATTTACATTATGGTCATACTAGCAGCTCGCTTGAAAATATGAGTTCACATGCTAAGATAATAAACAAACACATAACTTAGAAAACAAAAAACCTTTTCCTGAAGTATTAACAATCTAACTGGCCCACCACCTCATTCCATATGCAAAGCATAGCTTGGAAGAAACCAGAGATAACTGTGGTGAAAGTGAACAAACAGTGGTTTGGGTCAGCATCACTGGTGGAGTGGAGTACACAGGGTGCAGAATGATAAAAGGGCAACAATAAAATCAAAAAGAATGTTTCTTTCAGATGAAATTAGGGGAATAAAAACAATGCTGGTGGGTTTACATTTGGTTTTTAAGTAGATTCTTTGCTCCAAGATTATCTTCAGTATGCATAAAAGAATTACAATTTAAACAGATGTGAGAATATTCATATAGTAGCGGAAAAGGTAAAGATACTATGCAAGTTCTTAATATAATACAATGTAATATCACGGTTTGCAAAAGGTTTTACATTAGTTGTTCATTAAGCATCTACAAAAGAGTAACTTAACATTTTATCTGATAAACCATGTGCTACATTTTACAACTGATCTGACTGTTCTGGCTTATCTGAAAATGATGTTTACTGTCCTTTGAAAAGGAAAGCAATTCTTTCACCATAAATGTTTTACTGTCAATTGGAATTACAGCAGATTTTTAAGCTGGTAACATATTCTCTTTACAAGCTTTTATACTTGCACTACATAGAGAGACTTAACTTATTCTCATGGCCATTCATGGATTTGTGTATGTTTTCAAATCTATTTTCTCTTACAAGAATATTTTATTCAGCGTCCTCACAAGTTAAATGGTATCAACACAGATTTCCAAAGGTTAGTGTTGTACTTAGAAACATCAACTGCTACTAAAAAGTGGATGAGTATATTTTTAGTAATGACTAAGTAATCTATTATTTGACAATTTAAAATATACAAAATTGGGCAGAACCCTCAAATAATCTCTACTATACCTTATAGCTACTTTCCACAAAACAAAAAAACCAATATTTATTACCCTAAATAAATATTATACATATATAACATATATTAAATTACGCTAAACAAATAAATATTTCTGACCGTAAATAAATCCTTTGAGTGCTTCATGGTTTAAAATTTACATTCAGCTTTGCTGTGTAACACAAAAGTATGCAAAAAAGGAAAATTGCAGGCATGTTTTCTCAAGCTGTACAGTAAAGAAGGAATATGCTATTCCCTGCTACTCGCTATTCATCCTCCTCAGTTGTAAGGCGATGACTGCAAAAAGACTTCCCCTCTTGGGAAGCCAAAGGGAATTGTGGGAAGAGATGAAAATTATTGGGGTACCTGCAAATCTTACAAGGGGCTAAACTGAAATAACATAAATATTAATTGTCCTAGATCATCTGGAACCAAAAGGAATATGTTAAGAAAAAAGGAGTAACCAGTGATGATGCTTAGTTGTAACATTGCCAACATTTTGCATATAAGCTCCTAGAGCATCTAACCCGGGGGGGGGGAGAAGCAGGGCATGATGGAATTTTCCAAGTTTATCATACCTAAAGCAATGTTTTTGGACAGTTTCAACCAAGAATGCTCAACTAAGTTTCAGGATTTACCCCAAGAGGATGAAATTAGGTAGGTTTTTTTCTGTGTTAAATGTCTGTCTTCTATCACTTATTTGAAGAACTGTAGAGCCTTCATGTTTGAAGTCTGGAAAGAGGAATAGTACCGATACAAGAGTTTGAAGGCTGGCAAGAGGGACAGTACATATTTGCTATCCCCATGAAAACACAGTCAGGTCTGTCCATGATCAGTTTGTTGCTGGCTTGTTTCTATAAAGTTTCTAAATATTCATTTGAATATTCATCTCATCACAGAATTCCCTAGGTACCAATTGAAATAAGCATGCTTTCAGTCCTTGATAAGCCATCTACTCAGTAGGCACATGACTAGATCTTCCACAGAACAGCCACCCTTTCTTTCTGACCTATAAAAAGATGGTCTGGGTTGACAATTAAGATCTATTAAGATCTAGCATCAACTCTGCTGGTTTTTTTGTGAACTCTGCAGCTCTAATTTTTTTAAAAGCCCTCAAATCCAAGTTCACATCTGTCAAGGCAAAGGAATCTGGTATATAACAAATCACATTAGCTGCCTTTCACAATGAATATAAAATTTATGTTGTGAGTTGTGGTCTCTAACCACTAGGCTTCTCTCCCCTTTAGAGTGACAAATAGAAATTATGATTTGATTCCCACCATTTGTCCACAGTCTTGCAAACAGGCATTCAAGCATTGACAAGCTGTCTGCTACTTCTAGTGACTGGTTCATTTAGAGAACAACAGTCTACACTACCGTTACTAGTTACTATTTTAGGTAAAGGCAATTTGAAAATACATGACAGGCACGTAGGGCACTGTATGGGCATTCTTATTTTTAAAAACTTCATACAAATCTTAACTAAACAATTGATAGAAGTCTGTACTACGTTTATAAAAATCAGAGTTCAAGCTGATAATCCATGAAGGAATCAATTTGTCCACAAGACAGAACTTATTTTTCAAGTTGATTTTTGAAGAAACTAGGAAATCCCTCACAAAAATATTAAATAAATGTTAAGGTTGCCAAGTCAATCATTCTAAAAATTATGGAACCCAGAAATTAAGATTTTCCACACAAATTTAATACAACCCCCTTAAGCATAGATCTATCTGACAACTTTTAATGACATTATCATTATTATTTTTGACCTCTGCTACATTCAGGTCTTAGGATGAACAGTGAAAGGGGAAGGAGGTTACAAAGCACAAATAAGATATTCTCTTGTATTTAGTGCATTACATTAAGACTTAGGTGAGCAGGCATTAGCCTCTGGCTCTACTAAAAATTCAAAGAGTTTCATAATGCAAGTCTAAATTAATGGTACCTGGACAATACTGATTATGATATTCCCTAACTTTTGAGAGGCTGACTATGCAACATTAGCATTCCTTTAACTGTTTTTGTATACAGAAGTAAGTACCAATTAGGCCCTGCCTCCTTTTTATGGTATTAATACTACACATTTTCCTGACAGGAACACAGTGGGTGCTGCTAAAACAGTTATCTTGATAGAGAAAGATTTATGACCAAACCAGCAGCCCTCCCCTAAGCTAAGGAACTCAGCCTGAGTGAACATCAATGCCACAAGAAAACTGGAGGAAATCGTGAGGGAACGAGAAACTCACACAATTTTGTGGGTCTCAGTGTATAACCACTATTTCTGTTGTATTATATAACATTCTACAAATCCTAAAATTATTTATAAAAACTATTCTTTTACTATTATGAAGACAGGTTATATTACACAAAAGATTGCCTGTGCCTTGTTAATACAACCTAGAAAAAAAAAAAGACTCCACTTCTCAAACTTGAAGCCTTAATAATTCCAGTCAAACAGGGGGAGCGTCAAAGGTAAGTGGGCCCTTTTCTCACTCAGCTCACATTAAACGCTGTTGTGTAATGAATACGGAATACAGAAGAATATTTTTCTCTCTCTTTGAAAACAAAGCTACTACTATTTAAATATAGCAACACTTTCAAAACTGACAGGGAGATGTACTGAATAATCAACTAAATCTTCTATTTCCAGAGCTTGATACACATTTTGTAATATGACAAATATGAGATCATTTTCTCTTCACAAATCATTTGAAAAGCCTGATTTTTCTCAAATACATTTGACAATTTTAATCATCATCTGAGAATTTCAACAAATTATTCTTGGATTATGGCTTGCTGATAGATTTGGAAGCTAAACTAGTGATTTCTTAGAAGCATATGTGATGTTTCTATTTTGACTTCAATAAATGTTTCTGAGACACATATTTACCAATTCAAAGTCAGAATCTGTTTTATGCAAATATAAGCACTGAAATATTTTGTTATTCAATTATTTGGCTTATATGGTATTTGAGTGATAGTTAATGGCCTGTGAAACAGAAGAGACCAGACCATCCTATATGATATAGTTGTCTGTTCTAGACTTAACTTCTATGAAATCTTTGACCTTGGCAAAACAAAAAATCTTTTACCTTTGTTCAACACTTGTATTTTTTTTTACCTACAAATTCCTATGATTCTATAGAATTAAATATAAAAATTTCCCTCCTCTTAACACAACGTTGAAATTTCAGTTAAAAATCAAACAGAAAATCCAAAAATTAAGTTTCTGATGTTAACTTGGCCAAAGTAAATACTCTTCTTTTATACTACAATACATTCATTTTAAAAAGTCACATAATATTACTGCCTGTACTGCAAAATGAATACCAACAAGTACAAAGGACTTTCAAATACTGTTTACGACCCACAAGCTCTGTTAATGTAATGAGTGCATAGAATGTATAAAATACATAGAAAGCTAATAGTTACATGTTTTAAAAATACTATTTTGGCATGCAATTGTAAATAAAAGCCATTTGAAAACTAGTTGCACAACTGAAACAAAATGGAGGTTATCACAAAGACAGGAATACAAAATGATTCTGCTTTAAAGAAACACTGCAGAGACTGAGAAAAATGTAAAGGAAACAAATTTACTAGAGGTGAGAGTTATCAAAAATAGCAGAAACAATGGGAAAATTGAATAAAGAAATAGTACTGGATAATTTAGAAAAATGGAGCTAAACAAGGAGAGCCTTGTATTTTACAATACCATTTCAAATGATACCGAGTGATTACTCCAATACTTGGTATGCGATAAACATACTTCTACTAAATAATATGGTAGTCATCCAAAAAATAAGAATTTCAGTTCTTAAAAATCTGATACTTTAACATGTACAAAAGATCTGAACTATTTGAATGTAAGCATTAGAATTATTATTATATCTTAATTGGTAACTCTGCTTAATTACCATCTTCACA